TGGGATGGGGATGGGCGTTGAGCTGATCCTACCTCTGCCCACCCCTGGGATTCTGAGCCTGAGCTGAACGCGCTCACTGCGTTTGCCAATGCTCAACGAGAGGGCATGAGACGAGATAAGAATCAGAGCGTGAGGACAGTGGGCCGGTAGGCGCAGCGGGGACATCCAGGAAAAAATGAATTCAGGCGGGGAAGGGGCGGGGGAGGGGGCGAGGTATTCAGTGGTCTCTGTGGTTCTCCAGTTGTCACTTAAGAGATACTAATGACAGGGGTTATGTCAGTCTAATTAAAACGTTAACGGATCCGCAAAGCACCATGGAGCTGTGATCAAGAGGTTGCGCAGATAGCTGCGTAGCAGCAATTAACGACGCAGAAGAAATAACAAAAACGAAAGGCAAGAAGGTGAGATATGGCTAGCTGACGACATTTAGCAGACAGTGACAAGCCCGAGAAGTTGGCCCTGTCTTTGTTCAGTCTAATTTCGAATCTGAGAAGTCGGTTTGGCAAACATATGTTTTCAGCAATTCTCCATCACGCCATTACATTTGCAGGGATAATGGAAATTGTACAATTGGACAAGATAAATACGTGTACTTTGATTAAAACTAATCATTTTCACGCCGCCCGCATGACGATATCGGCGTGTAGAAGTGCTTGTGCTCAAGGGGGGGGGGCGGAGGAAATTGGGTCAAGTTCTGGGCAGTGGTCAGGTACATGGAGTGATGATTACTGTCATTTGCTCGGAGCGAACGACTGTCACTAAGGCGTGGGAGCGATGTGCGATCACCACCTGGCGTCGGGGTCGGCCACGGAAGTGAAAGTGCTTGTGTTAACGTCTTCTGACAACACAACACTGGATTCACTAGCCGTATAGCCACTGCTTCGGCTTTTGCAAGCACCTGTTAGCATAGGTCCTTGGAAGAGTTAGCTGGTGTCCGGTAGACAACCCGATGCTGTGCGATGACCTGCGATGATTCTTGGTAAAACAAGGAGAGCGTATTTCGTACTGCCACCACATGGATGAGCTCGTCTTCCAAGTTGCTTACTATGCTCGGTAGAAAATCTCAGCACACTGGGCTCGTTTTACACAGTGACCACCTACCTAAGAGTCGGACTTGACGTCGCAGGCTATTCAGGTCTGAGGACATGGCTAGTTGTCGATGCCCAAGAAGTCAGACCTCAGCCATCATCTTTTTCCTCGAAATCCCTTTCAGAGGATTATGATTATAAGCACTCAAGGTGTTTCACTTCTAATTGCCTCCACATATCAAGTTAGCGCGTGCTGAGAGAGAGTTGCTTAAGTATCTACTTATAATAATAATTGTCGTTTGCTTTATACAATATTTTTAAAAAAACCGATCAAAGTTCTTTAACCTTTAAAGTTTCTTTAGGTATTTGCAAGCGGTAACTTCCTAGGGCCTATGTCTTATCTTTCATATTGAATCCTGATGTTAACCTAACATTCCAGAAATACATAATATGAACTCTATTTTGTTAACTTGACATGACTTGCACACTCAGTCTTGCATTCAGGAGAAAACACCACAAACACAGTTCCACTTTTCTTTGATTATACTGGCTATATTGGGCCTGTAGTTTATTGACGCTCTTCGCAATGCTCACGGATTACCCCGGATATGTTAAGATAGTGAATGATTTCAGCTTAAACAGATCGTCAGTTTCAATTTGTCCCAAAGTTAATAACTGAAACTTTATAAAAATAGACTTAAAACGCACAAGCAGGTGCGTTTATTGAAATCCAAGAATTTCTTCCCTTTCCAAATTTTCATTCACTACTCATGTCCCAATTCGTTTCTCCCTATATGATTATAGTTCTATTATACTTTTAAGAAGAGCCATCAGAGGAGGATCTTTCAAGCAATCTGGCACAGTTTGAGGGATTTGACTGGTTCACAGCGACTATATTTTTGATCTTTGGAGGAGATTCTGGTCGTGCATTTGCCTTCTTGACGAACTTTTACAAGTCGCGTTCGGCCGTGTATCTGTGGCCTGCTCGAAGCCGTTCCCTGGTAAGTGTATACATTTGCAGCGTTTACAGCTTACTGATAGCCTAAATCAGCCATGCGTTTTGTAATTCACTGTGTCCTGTCCCTTAAACGGTCACACGGTAGACACAGGGGCTACACCAAGGTACATCAGCATTATAGGGTATGCGCACCCATAACAAATGTTACATAGGGGTCGCCTGGGTACGCCTAGGCGTGGATTCCCACCGCACTAGCCACATACGCCCTCCCCCACCCCGGTCTTCTTTATTCTACTCGATATTGAGTGGTGACCAGTTCACGATAGCAACATATCCAGAAACCGCCTACATAATCTCCGTTGTTTCTGTATAGAAACTGTTCTGGTAAGGATTTACTTTTCGCGGGTGTGGGCCAAGCCCAGTCACTTTTCGTTTCTGCCCACCTAAGATCCACTACACTTTGGTCAAGTGAAAAATTCCAGACCATCATGGGAAACAAAACTATACATATAAACTTCTAGAGTTCACAAGAAAACTGTAGGAGTCCGAGCAGTGGCTGTACTTGGGCCACTACAATCATCAAATGGAATTCCGGATTGTTTAAAAAAGCAGAAGCTACCGGAATGAGAGCCTTTTTGTGCACAGAACCCCGAACTGCTGTCTCAGGCAAGTGCCGCGAAGATAATCGTCCACGCCGGCAGTAAGACAGGCCGAGAATTGATTGAAGCCCCGATCAATCGATTTCTCTATCTGGTGACGGCCTACATCGCCCTGCGCAGGCACATCCCAGCTGATGTCACTGGTGGCTGATTGACCCCTGCCCCCTATAGCTGTTGCTTGTTTTTCGTTGACGCGTTTATCTCTGACGATGGACTCCAGTAAGAGTTTGAAAGTTTAGACGAATAAAAACATGCTTTTTTGTCATACGAATATTTTACCGATGCTAAAGAAGACCAAAACTGTCATAAGCTGTGCAAGTCTTCGCCATGCGATGAATAAGTCAGTCAAATACGTTTTTAGTAAGTATAGGACCATTAAAAATCACTATTTTATATGCCATAGATGAAGAATTCGAAGAAACGTGAGGTCGTTTCCTCTTACGTCGCTGAGATTACCCCCATGTACTACAAACTCTGCCACCATATGGAGTTGATTTTAGCCAAAGAAGCCCACGGCGTATTCAACACTTTCCGTCTTTCTGGTCATCCACCATCAAAGGTACGTTTTTATAGCCAACGTGTGATAGATGGGGGGTGATATAGAAAAATGAATTTTGGCCATCAGAGTACTTGGTTTTAACATTTCCGCACGCAGGTGTTTTTCCACTGGATGTCCCAAAGTTTCTGGAACTATTTGGACTGGCCGGAAATAGTGGACTTTCAACTGTTGTGTCTCCTGTGCGGACCAGAGTACGCCGCATTTGCCGGGGTGGCTATTCTGCGTCACCTCAAGCCAGCTCTCACCGATGCACTCCAATCTCAGTCGCATTTGGTCAGGCTCAGGGTGAGTTTGCAGAGTACGCATACGCAATTACCTCTTTCTTACGGCTGTTGACCTGACCGAACTTTCGGAGGGACATGCGAGAGTACGTCTTGGGAACCACGCGGTCGCCGTTATGTACTACCGGACTTCGCGGACGGCTTAATTCGTTATGAGGAGCCTTTTAAGTGTGTTAAATGTTGCTGTACGCGCCGTGATCTCGCCCATTTTGAATTGACAAACAGGTTTTTGGAAATTGTAATGAGGGAACCAACAAATAGGCACAGTAGCCTTCCTAGGTTAGATGATGGGATTTAGTACAGATTGGGAGACTATATCCCTGTTAGTCCAGTACACGAGCATTCGCCTATCATGGAAAATAAATGTTAGTCATATGTGAAAATCCGTGCAAGACAACAGGTGTTTCCTTTAAGGCAGAAGAACACTACCGAAAAAGACAAGGATGACTGCAATGGTAAGCTCCGGCTTATTAGACGTCATCAGCCAGCCATACTCACTGGCTGAGGCTCTAACCCGCGACCTATTGGTCAGAAGGCCAAAGTTTTAAACCATCAGTGAACGCGCATCCACCATTTTGCTCATGTTTCTCAAAAGCAGCGAGGGACACAGCTCCATAAATATCTCCGATGGGTACTCTGCCAAATCTCGGGGTGATCTCGGGATGCCTGATACGTAAACTTTATTTCTTCTCATTCCTCATCATTGCAAGTTGTCGAACGCGCCAAAACGCACCTTATTTATTTGGCTCCTAGCAATACTAACTTACCATGGCCTCTGGTGTGTTGTTTGTGGATTGGCCATTTCATGCGCCATAATCATTTTTTACAAAAATTCCGAATATTTAGACGGCCACTGTTTAGGTTAAACGCGTGACCAAGGGGCATCAAATTTGCTGGAGCAGCTGCAGCTCACGCTAATATCATGTGTTGGTTCACAGAAAGTTGAGCCTGCTGATCCGTGTTTGATCTCCCATAACCTTTTGTTTTATTTCGTCCCTTTGTGGCCGCATTCTGTTTCGCTCGTCCATAACATTAACAGGGTAGGTCAGTGACTCAACACGGTACTACGGAACACTTTCCAGCCTTTTCTCGGATGGCTCCTACCGATTTCTCATAGAAATCACCTACAAAAGGTGAGGGTCGACCTGCTGTCTAGGGGCTTCTGTAGTTCTGAACTTCGTGAGTTTCCATCCTGTTCTTATTTCTTTCAAGAAATCGTCAGCAAACATTGCTTGCAAAGTGCCTTGACGCAAACTCTCCTAATTAGTTCGCATGAGGTGCTGGATGTCGAAGACCAGAAATTGAGACCAGTTAAATAGTTTGAACTGCCTTCGACAAATCGCGAAGTTGGGTGCATAAATCAACCCAAGTGTGATTGAATTCACCTCATAGCTCAGTGGTAGAGCGTTGGCTGCGCAAAGCCCTCCCTGCTGTGTGGATTCGACTCCTACGAAGGCCGCGAGTTTTTAACAATTGGGTCAACCGAATTCATAAACGAATTTTGGACCTGGTGGATTTCACACCGAAGTTTCGGCCACCTTCCATACCGGGCGTGAGATCTGAGTCCCCTTTCCGTGAAAATCCGATACATATATGGCGTTTGGCACGCGTAAGAGGTAGTTGAGCTTTGTCAGACATTACGCCTGGACCTACGTCCGGTCATCTTGACAGTTTTTTTGCCATAGAAGCTTGATTATTGAACAAGACAGATGATGCGCACGTCTTCGTAGTTGCGTCCGCCATGGGAAACAGAAGTGATTTCCTAATTTTTCTCATGTTTGCGTGAAGTGCCGGATGTCGAAGACCAGAAATTGAGGCACATGTTTACATAGGTTGAACTGCCTTCAGAACATGGCGAAGGTTAACTGCAGAGTACATATCCTTCGTGAAGAAGTCTTCTTATGAACTGACACACAGATCCTTTAGCCGATCAGGACGTAAATTCATTCTAAGTATACTGATAAGACCCGAGGAAAGCCTCCCAAAGAACCTGCTTGTTGCCGAACTTTTCGTTTCAGGGGGACGAACAGGTGCCACATCAGTGCGCAACTGTCATAGGAAAACGATGTCTGCGCCAACGGTACACTCTTGACACAGGTGGGGCTATTGTAAAAGCTAGACAAAATTAGGCGACCACCTGATCATTAGTTCAAGTGTGTCTTGCTGTCCGGCACTTTATTACTCGGACTCCTTCCACTATGCAAGCTGAGTCCTAAGTGTACGTTGGCAGCGAGGGCTTACTGACTCACCCTTGTCTTAGAAACCAGATAGCCTCAAGATAACGCAGCAATGAACGCCTTGCAAATAAACCCGCATTCTATTTATCGAGACGCGACACACTATTAGAAAACCTTCGGGGCGATGGGCAATCCTTTCAAACTTAAAGCGGAAGAGGTGCGAAGGCTCAACTTATTTTTACATGTGGGCGTTATCGTTCTACTACAAACGCCAGTAACATTATCGCAGGGGGTTAAGTTAGTTAAACTCTAGCAACTGCGATCTTAAGGCCCGGTTCCCTAGGAGAAGAAGAGTCCTGAAAGGCCAGAGTGGTAGGAACAGTTTATTCTGTACAGAAGGAATGGAGAATAGTTAAAAGGAATTTAAATGTCAGACGAGCGCACAACTGCCGGCCGCAGCGCCGCGTCTGGAATGAGGTGACCGCGGGAATAGTCACAGCGTCTGGAGCGGCCTTTGTGTGAGTCGACATTGACAGGTGATTGGTCAGACGGATTGGTTAGACGGTCGGTCGTAGGCGGCCAGCGCATGTATACTGGTTGGCGGTGGTGAACCTCAGCACATGCTTGTCTGCGCGGAGGAAGTTACTTCAATATGTTTACCAACGAGAATTTCTCTCGATACAGAGCGTACCTAGACAGCGACGCCACTATATGCAGTCAGTTCAGTGCACCATGAGCCTCGGGGCTGAAATAAAGGGTTTTTGATCATGACAGATCAAGGACAGAATTACCTGACCAAAGGTGGTAGCCAGGTCTACACTTTACACCTGTTTGTCGGCTGTCACAAATAAAGACACGGAAGTTGGTGACCCTGCACAAAGTCAGACTCACGCATCTGACATAAACGGTACATTTCGCATGCGCGTTTAGAAAACCCTGGATATGTGAATCAGGGTGGTGGCATTGACAACAATAGCGATGCCTCACCGTGTAATTAGAGCACGACCTACATGCGGTAGATGTAGTAAACCGTTCGCACGCGGTCGCATAACTCGTACGCCGCAATTCACTGAGCCTACCTATATACGGAAAGCGAAGCGTCACTTGCGTAAACAATTAGTGTGTGTGTGTGTGTGTGTGTGTGTTAGTGTGTGTGTGTGTGTTAAAAACTTGACAATACCGCGTTAATTCTCATTTTTCGCATACTCAATCAAAAAGTAAAGTTATTTTCGTTTACCTTCCGTTTAATTTTCTTTTAAGACTCCAAGTAAGCTGAATTAAGCTGAGTATCTCTTTCATTTCTTAACTGTACAAAGGAACCTAGTTTGACAAGTTTTATTCATTCCATTACCAAGCTCACCATGTGAAACACTTCACTTGCGAAACGTATTCTGCATCCGTTTACTAATTGGCTACAAGCGAGCGAGGGCTCACGCCCTGGGAGCCAGACTCAACAGAGGACACAAGCACATACAAACTGACAGCTCGTTAACTGAACGGTAGCTCGTCAATCGAAAGGCATTTTTCCGCTAGTGGCTCGCTCGTTACGTGAAATGCTCGTAGATTGCACTACCCGTCATCTGAGGCTCCAGTGTTACTTAATTTATTGTATGCTTTCCCGTGGTGCCGTGGTAGAGTGTTAAAATCAACGACCAGAGGTTCTGGGTTTGAATCTCGGGGTTTCCAATCCTTAAGATTAGGTATGACTGGCTGATGACGACCAACAAGCCAGAAATGGCTATATCAGTCTCCCTTTGCCTTGTCGGATCCATGTCATCTAATACTGGCAAGACTGTGAGCTCGTAGCTCAATGGTTAGGACGTTCGCCTCTGACCGGAGGGACCCGACTTCAAAACTGGAGGGTGGCAGCAATTTCAGCGGCAACACTGGAGTTGGGTATCACTAGCCGATGACGGCAAATGAGCCGGAAAAGGCCTTCCTAGTGTCCCATGTCTTTACTGGTAATGTCCTTCTGCATATATATATAGATATATATATTCACTCAGAAATGTTCGAACACCGATCGAATAGGCTTCCGAA